CCCCAAATTATCTCATCCAATAATGACTTCCTGGAGTTTTATTTTCCTTATCCGAAGGTAGCTAATGTTACTAAACAAATGATTGTAACAGGACTATTTACAGTCCAATGGGCATCCTACAAGGCATTTTAAAAATACATATTTCTTGCTTTTTCAACCATTAGTGCTTAAGTCACACTCTCATTGCTTACTAACATTTTAAACCAGTGTTAGCCCATTTCCCAAGGAGCTTAGCCATCCCTTTTATGTGTAGCCTTTATCTAGTTGTTACTTACCTCTAACTATTCGGTCTCTGTTGTGCATTAAAGTTTTGAATCATAGTGCAAGGGAAAGGAATTCATAAGTATGAGTTTTATATTATGCTTACACTGATCATGTAATTCCATGGTCTTTATCCACTGGTTAAGAATTTAGCCTGGCCGGGTGTGGCTCAGTGGTTGAGCGTCGACCCAGGATCCAGGAGATCGGGTGTTTGATTCCCGGTCAGGGCACATGCCCGGGTTGTGGGCTTGATCAATGACTCTCTCATCATTGATGTTTCTACCTCTCTCTCTCCCTCTCCTTTCCTCTCTCTGTAATCAATAAAGATATATTTAAAAAAAAAAAAAAAAAGAATTTATCAGTTCCCCAGTTGTGGTTCTTACCTCAGTCATTTTATGCCTTGAGGTATTTACTAATCTTTATGTAGAAAAGACTTTTCTGTGTTTGGATCTGTTTTCTTCTTCAGCTATCAAGCACGCCAGATTCTTAACGTTCAGAGTGAAATGGTAGTAAACTTTTCACATAAGCTGTTTACAAGGGTTTTGTCCTCTTGTTTCTAGTTGCGGGTGGTGGCTAAGTGGCAGGAATCATGTCCTTTGAAGTTGGAAATTATTTTCTTGGATAGGCTTGCCATAAATATTATGATAGTGTTTAAGTGTAATCTGCTTGCCTGATCTCTATAACATTGTATGGAAGCAGAACTTCACTCTAGCTCCCTGATTTAGTCACTCTTGATGATCATCCTATTTAATGAAACTGTCCAGGCTATGGATTTGGGTCAAAATTTTTTGAAGCTCTTCAGTTAACAAAGCAAGGACTCTGTGTGCACAAAGCTTACTTTTCACTTTTTCATCTTTGACCGGTTTGAATGCAAAAAACACTGGTTTTATCATTAATACTAGGCAAGAATGATTTCTGTGCTTTCAGTAATGGATTGTAAGCATTTTTTGCCCTGGTTCTGGCAATCTGAATTCCTCCTTTTATCCCCTCTTCATGGATTGCAGCTGTTCTGAATTTACGTAAACAAAATGGAGTCTTAAGAGGAGCCTCCTTGGCCTTGAAGAATTCATCTTATGGGGTCACAGACTTCAGCAGTTCTGACTTAGACATGTGCAGGCATTACTCTTATTTGGAGCTTATTTTAGGAGTAGAAGCAGTATTTTTACTTTTTGAACATGAATTTTTTGGTAGTGCTTGAGTTTCTTCCAGTTCTGTAAGATCTGTTATTGCAAGTATAGTCAGTCACAAAGAGCTTTATTTTTTTAACCACAATCCCTCACCAAAAAGGAAGCTTCCCTAGGTCTTATCTGTGCTTCTGTTCTCAGCATTTTCCTTTGAAAATGCTACATTCTTTCAGGTTTGAAATAAGTCATTGACCTATTTTGGTCTCTTTGCCCTGTCCATCCTAATATTGGTTAGTTTGCTGTGGAGATGGAAGCAAACTTTCATATTAATTACAGGGAGAAAAAAATTTTTTTTAATTCTGTGGATTAATATCCAAAGCATCATAAGTGATTTGTGGGTGAAACATTTATTGGAGATTGGGTGCTTTGATTTTCTACTTGAAACTGTCTTTCTGACCTCTGGGTTGGATGAATGTGTCATACATGGAAATGTGTTTCCTTTCTCAGTCTTATCAGCTTTACCTTCACTGTAGCAGTTTTAAATAGCACTGTGGAATGAAATTTGGCAGGTATACATTTTTAGAGGGTGGGATACAAACTAAAAGAAAGCTTATCACAAGTTGGTATTAGGTCTTCCTAATTTGCAACCAGAAGCACTTACTGATAACTGAAGCGGTTTTTGTCCTGTACTTTTTCCCTTTTGTGGTCTTCCCTTCCACCCACCCGTTTTTTTTTTGTTCCTTTTTTCCTCTGTTACAGTTTAGAAAACGCTAAACCCTCCTCCCAGACAGCCTCCGTCACGATCCCTGATCACCTCAGCATCAACCTCTCTCAACCCTCCACCCCTTCTTCTTCTTCTTCCTCCTCCACCACCACCCCCTCGCTCGCCACAGCGGGGACCTCCGACGCACCCTCCAGCCTCCCCAACCCTCTTCCGACCGCCCCTTGTGTCTCCAGTCTGCTTGGCATGAAACCCATCCCTCTCCTGGCTCTAAATGTTGTGTCTGCTGCTAAGGGTACCGGGGCTTCAGCTACCACCACCACCACCTCTGCCGTGCCATGTGTAACTAACAAACTGAAAGGCGAGAAACAGAGATTCTCCCCGTACTGATTGCATATCTTGAGGCACCTCCTCAAGTAATTCTTGGTTCATTTTGTTTTCCTTTGTTAACATTGGTGAGAACCAAACAATTGTGAGCTTGTTACATTTCCTTTTTACTATTTGGGGGGATAGCAGGGTGGGGGAGGGGTGATGGTAAGGGGTGTTTAGGTTTAGGCCATTTCAGCTGAGTGCCTGTTTCAGAGTCTGACGTGTTGAATACTTTATCTAGAGCCACAGTTCTTGCTCTTTCTCATTCTGTTACTTTTTTGTAGTTTTATTCTGCCTTGCAATATAACAATGTGTTAGGCTCTGTGTTAATGAATAAAAGCTTCTCCGTTAACTTTTTTTTTTTTTTTTTTAATTATTTAATGGTTAAGTTATCAGCTGGCCTTGTTGGCCAGATTTGTGTTTCTAGTTGTAATAAAGTTGCCACAGTAAGAACCTTAGTTGACTGTGTGCTGTGAAGGGTAAAGGGGTGGGAACTTGGCTAGGGAGTCTATAAAACTGACTGGACCTCTTTGTATCCCTGGTTAATTTTGTAGTCCTTTGTCATTCCCCACAAAGGGAGATGGGCCTGTGGCAGATTAAATCCCGAGGGTCTTCCATAATTGGCAAGAAGCTGCTTTAGTGAAGAATAGTTTCTCTGACTTCCCAGATCCCTTACCTTGCCAACAGCAGCAATAACAGGGAGGGGTGGCCATCCCAGACTTGTTTCCACTGGTGAGTGGTTGCTCTGAGGATCTTTTACAGGGCATACATACAAAGAAATTACTTCTTTACCCAGACTGGGGAGGCAAGTTTGTTTTAAGTCTCAAAGTTTGCCAGCTTGTCTGCATTCCTCTAAACTAGCATTACTTCTCTTCCTATGACATTGGGTAAATCTCAATCAACCAACCTGTGACATCACCCAAAATATGACAGGATTCTGTCCAATCATCCTAAATCAACCCTGATTTACTAGACTAACTCCCTTTATCCTTTTTTCTCCCCACCAACCCTCTTATTTATAATGAATAGGGAATTATAGACTTAAATTTGTGAGGAACCATTAATATCAGCTGTAATTCATCAACCCACTTGTTTATCATTTAAAAAATTGAGGCCCTGGGAAAATTTAAATTTGCAAATCACTTGGATGACTAGTGAGAACTAACAACTCAAGGTTTACTTAATCTCCCTGAAGCCTTATATTTTTCTTATCCAAGACCACAGTTTCTTCTCCATAAAAGGATAGAAACACTGTAGGTAGAATGGCAAAAGGCATCTTCTGTTCTACCTGCATACATATATTGCTAGGATAATGAAAGGATAGTGTTCTTCCCAAGGCATTAGAGAACCACTGTAGAGGTTTTCTTCCTGATGACCTTTTCCTACATTCCCTTTGGTATATTTTATAGTGTTAAAGCTAATTGCTTATGAGTATTGCAATGTTACATTGGTGGTGTGGCACCTTCATCCCAGCTTAGGCCTACAAATTCATTTACATGTCCCAAGAGTACATGGACACTAGAGGGGCAGGTGTTGGTTCATTGCCCAGATAGGCTTTTTCTTGTTAGTTGCTAGCTGCTCCTTTATCACATAGTCCAGCTCTCCCTTAGATAAGCTCTTTTTGTATGAACTTAATCTTGCTGATATCCTGTCCCCCCAGAGACCTAGTTTTTATTTTATCTGGTTCTTGATTGGAAGGCCTCTTCACCTAATGAGTTCTCCCTGAAGGAGGATTGCTGGGAAGGAATCTAGATGTTTAAGGGCTGACTACCATCACCTAGAGTCCTTAACATAGTATTTCTGGGTGGGTTTCCCCATCTTCTTTTTTTTTTTTAATATATCTTTATTGATCTCAGAGAGGAAAGGAAAGGAAAGGGAGAGGGAGAGAGAGACATCAATGATGAGAGAGTCATTGATCGAGCCCACAACCCGGACATGTGCCCTGACCGGGAAATGAACCCGGATCGCCTGGATCCCAGGTCAACGCTCAACCGCTGAGCCATGCCCGGCCAGGCCCCCATCTCCTTGACCCCTCTACACCTGCCCCCTCTTCAATTCCTGCTCAGGTTGTATTCATAAATTCTGGACATTCGTTTCTAAGCTCTTTTTGGTGACAAAGTGCTGCCACCTTCTTGCATTAACCTAATTTTTTAGGTCCTAGATCTAAACTGTTTCTAGCACTTCCCTCAGGGCCTGTTGTTTGCATTACCCTAGATTATCCCATTTTGCTATTGGCAGGAATCTACCCTCTATAAAAACAAAATATTTCCTTTTACTCCCACGTAGAAATACCACTTCTGACTTAAAATTAGTTTGTAGTTGAAAGACCCAACTATTTCTTGGCCCTTGTTTTTCTTGCCCCACTGGCCAGCTGTTGGCTTTAATTGTTGTGGAAGAGATACAGATGGGGAAGTATTCATGCTCCCTTGATGAGAGACCATAAATAGGTTATGCCAGTCATTTTAAAGTCTTTATGAAATAAGTTTATGAACTGAAACTTTAGTGGTAACATATTTAACTCTATTCAAAATGGAAGCTAACTCTTGCTGGCTACCTAATATCAGTGAAGCAAGCCAAATGCCTACATAGTTTTCCTTTAAAACCCAAAATTGGATTCCAAGGCTTCAAATGATTGTTTTCAAATAAATGCATTATACCCAGGTATGTTAATGACCACAGATTTGGCCCAGCTGGCGTGGCTTAACAGTTGAGCATTGGCTTATGCTAGGATCCAGGAGATTAAGGTTCCATTCCTAGTCAGGGCACCTGCCCGGTTTTGGGTTCAAGGCCCAGCAGGGGGCATGTAGGAGGCAGCCGATCAATGACTCTAGTCTCATCATTGATGTTTCTATCTCTTTCTCCCTTTCCTTCTCTCTGAAATCAATAAATACATTCAAAACAAAACAGATTTGGGAGCTTCTAGAGTAGGCTAGAGGGTTGCTGAAATGGGTTTTGCCTTCCAGTTTTAAGTTCTGAAAATTAACCCTGAAAACTATAGGTTGAGTATAATTCTTGACCCATACTTGCTGTTCCCTCTATGACATCCCTTAGTGTTTAAGGGATTATCTTTTTAAAAAATATATCTTTATTGATTTCAGAGAGAGGGAGGGAGGGAGGGAGAGAGTTGAAGCATCAATGATGAGTCAACATTGATCGGCTACCTCGTGCATGCCCCCAACTGGGGATTGAGCCTGCAACCTGGGCATGTGCCCTCACTGGGAATCGAACCAAGATTTCCTGGATCCTAGGTTAATGCTCAACTGCTCAGCCACATCTGGCCGGGTAAAACTGCATTATCACTTCATATTGATAGAGAAACCTGGGACTGTTCTAGAATAAAAAGCTGTCTCAGCACTAGCTTTGTGAAGCTTTCAGATAAATGTTTCCTAAACTATTCTATCAGTATCTTAGGAGGAGTGGAAATAAGCTCAGCAGTAAAGAAATACTGCTTCTGTGTTTTGTGACTCTCAAAGAGGATACTTTACTGTGTGGTGTAGTTTCATAAAGTGTTGGACATTTCCCACAAAGGTTCCAAAGAACATAGTTGGACGTGCACCCACACTTGGTAACCGAAGTCCTAAGTTTGATTCTGAGGTGATTTGCCCTTGTGAAGCTTGGATTGCAGGGGTTACGGGTACATGGAACTAGTAAATCCAGAAAACTTTAGTATTTTGCCCTTGATATTGAGCCACTGATTATGTTTCACATAAACTTCTTCACAGTTCACCTGCCAGGTTGAAAGATTTGGAGGTGAGGTGCAGTTGGGCACTCAAAACTAACTGAGTTCTTGTTTTGTGTTACAGGCTTTCTTCGGAGACGGGTGGCATGGGGAGCAGCTAGAACAATGCAGATTCATCCATAATCCCTTTCTGCTGTTCACCACCACCCATGATCCATATGTGTAGTTTCTGAACAGTCAGCGATTCCAGGTTTTAAATAGTTTGTAAATTTTCAGTTTCTACACACTTTATCATCCACTCGTGATTTTTTAATTAAAGCGTTTTAATTCCTTTCTCTGTTCAGCTGTTAATGCTGAGATCCATATTTAGTTTTATAAGCTTCTCCCTGTTGGTTTTTTTTTTTTTTTTTTTTTTTTGGCTCATGAATTTTTTTGTTTGTCATGGAAATGTAAGAGTGGAATATTAATACATTTCAGTTTAGTTCTGTAATGTCAGGAATTTTTCAAAAAAAATTAAAAGATGGACTGGAGCTTTTTCTTTGTGAATAGAAACTGGATGCCACAGTGATTCATGTGGGTTTTATTCCTGTTGTCTTGCTGTTATTTTTGCACCTTTTATCCCTCAAAGGACAAGGACCCTGCTTGGGTTTTGAATATAAGCCTTTATTCCAGTTAAGATGTTTTCTGTTTTACCACTCCATCTTTTTTTGTAGCCCTTGATTGGATTTTCCCTTGAGCCTGCATTGAAAAGTGACCTAACAGCTATAGCAAGCTGGCTGTGCCCTTGATTCCAAAGGTTGGGGTTACGGTTTCCTAGGATTTATCTGTAAAGAGTAGGCAATTTATTCCACCAGGGGTTGGGGGTGTGGGAAAGGATGCACATGCATACACATGGAAGCTGTTGGAAGTATGTCTGACTGGGTGGGATTCAGGTTGCTGGGAATGTCTGTACATCAGTATCTTGTTTTTAAAAACTGTTCATTTATATAGTCCTCTTCTCCATTTTAAGATCTTGTGTCCTCCTACTAAAATCCTTCAGAGTGAGTTTTACCTGCTTCCAAATATTTATGTAGACAAGTTTAGAAGGTTAGAGCTTTAAGTGATGTTCATTTGGAGAGAAAAGCATAAAAGGAGGAAGTAACTTGTCCACAGTCCTCAGATAATGTCTGGAGCCCAAGCCTCCTATTTAACCATGTGTGCTACCTCATTCGTTCACCAAGAAAACCCTCAACAGCTGGGCCTGCATGGAGTGGTTATATTTCAAGGTTTTTCACAGGGATTACAATAGGACAGTCTGCACCCAATCAGGCACCAAGATAAAAGCAGGGACTTAACACCCCAGTTCTTCAGCCTGAGCCATCACATGCTATCACAATCTTCTAACCTCCCCCTAGACCCTAAGCCAGGGCTTGGGTAGAGAAAAGGAGGGACAAAGAAATTAGTTACGTTGCACCTGAGAAATCTCAGAAGGGAGGACCCAGCCTTAGCCTCCCTCCTCCCAAGTGCAAAATATGTAAACAGTAAACGGAAAACAAAAAAGTGCAGTTAACTGGCTTCCTTTCCTTCTCCCTGGTGTTTGGGAGGAAAGGGTATAGAGGATCATAGGAGGCAAGTCTGGCTTTTCTCCTGCCAGACTGCTTCTTGAACATAACCGGGTGAAGCAGGGAGGGGCCAGTTTGCCCTTACCCACAGCTCTAGGGCAGTCCTTGTTCTTCATATCCACAGCTGCCAGTGTCCCTAGAGTTTTATCAGGTGAATTGGTCAGTCTCCCTTG